CAATGTTAAGAGACTGGGCCTCTCATACATTGCTATTGAGAATGCAAAATGGCCAAACTTGCATGTTGAAGAATGACCGGCAGTTTTCTATACAGTTAAACATACGTTTACCCTTTGATCTAGAAATTCTACTCCTAACTTTTTATTCAAAATAAAGAAAACTTATTCCCACAAATGTTCATAACAGTATTGTTCATAACAACCACAATTGGAAACAAAACAATAGAAAAAGGAATTATAAATTGAGGTATATAGTTTGAATAGTACTCAGCAATAAAGGGGAACATATCAGTGATAAACACAAAACCATACATACATTTTACAGACTTTATGCTAAGTGTAAGATGCCAAACACAAACATTAAACATTTTGTGATGCCATTTGTCAAATTCTCAAACAGGCAAAACTAATCTAAGGTGAAAAATATCAAAATAGTGATTGCCAGGACCGGAGATGACTGAGGACGATTTCTTGATAGAAATATTTGATCAAGATGGGTATATAAAACATCACCTGTTCATGAAAATATATAGCTAAGACTTGTACATTTCAACTCATACATATTAACTCTAAAATGTAATATGCTGTGTGTAGAGTAAGTAGGGCTTTGCTGGGGATAGAATTGAAATAATGGCAGAAAAATTTTGTGTCAAAACTGTCTGATAGGTCCATGAGGTGTAAAATTCTATTTTGTTCATTTTCTACATGCTAGTTATTTTTCAGAGTTAAAATGTTGAAGCAGGTAAATAAATAAATTGTTATGCCGTGCCCTCTGGAAGAAATACCACACTTGGTTGTTTATTCCGTGTTACTGCTGCTGCTGTTAATAATAATAGGTTGATGAAGATGGTGATGATGTTATTCTACCCACTTAACATTCACTATATATTAGGTACTACACGCATTATACACGATGGGTAAGACCAGCACAATCATTGCCTCCATCATGTTTATAGAAGTATAGAGAAAACGAATAAGGAAACAGAATATATAATTATATAACTGTAAACTGTAGTGACTGTTATGAAAGAAAAAAGTATTGTGTAATACAGAATACTGATTTATACTTTACTGGGTACTTAACATGTGCCAGACGTTGTGCTGAACACTTCAGAATGCTTCCCTCAAGGATGGGTGATATTACCACACTTACGTATGAGGAGTGAGAAAAATTATATTCTCTTTTCTAATAAGAGGCAGAGCATCACGAATTTGTGCTGCTCTATCCATAACACCTGATCTGATATCTGTTCTGAACCAAAGTCTGAGTGGGATTAGTAACGCAGAGTTTGGTAACAGCAGATGTTGGGACATAACTGTCCCAGAAGGAGCTTGTTTGACTTCATTATACTGTATTGTAACCAGCTAAATCGATCTGTAAGAAGGTTACACAGGATATAATAATGTTCTCCATCTCCCTCATTTCCTTAGATCCAGAGGGAGGGCAGGAAGGAGAATCAGCAGAATTGGAGGGGTGAAAGCCAGGCTACAGGATGTTAAAGTACAAGTACAAAGATGTTTTTAGGAGTAAACCATCAAATTGAGAATATATAATCTCTACATTATGAGAGTAAGACAGAAAATGTGAGTCAAGAAAAGAAACAACACAAACAAAAAGGTTCCTAATTAATACAACTCTTAACAGTTTTTATGGGCCTCAGACTGAGGTGAATATTGCGGAATGTCAACTACCAAATAAAACAGGGTTTGCACAATAGTGTCTTAACTGTGAAAGATCTAGTCTTTCTTCCACCAATAATTCTCTACAAATGTGCAGCAGGTCACTTTAATTATAGACCTCTGCATTTAAAATATTGATCTACATTCCATATAAAAGTACAGTTATATTCTCCTTTTCCAAAGAAGAATGTCAAACTACTATATATATCATTCCTCTCCAGTATCTAATACATATTATACTTTTACTTTAATGTAACTATAAATATTTTCTTAATAATACATATTCCTCTTCAAAACATCTATAAGGAAAATTTCCAGAAGTTATTTCTCAAACTTTTTAAATCAAGGTATAATTGACATATAACAATGTATTAGTTTCAGGTATACAACATTTTATATATATATATATTATTAGCAATTATCACAAAAAATCTCATTAACATGTCACTATATATACATATACACCCCACACACCAAATTTTAAATTTTAGAGTATAATCTACATTTGTAGCAAGTACAGGGGAAGACCTCTGTCCTAAAATTGGCATTGCTTACAACTGAAAGACAATTTCATTTTTAATTATAGCAATTCAAATGATATTCTAGAGTGAAATATTTTCCCTTTTCATTTCTTCTTTCATGCTTCATCACTGCTGAATTTCTTAAAAATGTTAATGTGAGGACTTAAAAAAATCTACTAGGGATGACAGCCGTTAGAGATATTGATAATAATAGCTGACATTTTCAAAGCACTTTGTGATTTACACAGCTCTTTAATATAGATTGTCTCTTTTAATTATCACATCACTCCCTAGGAGTTAATAACATTATGTATAATTACTCCCAGTTTAACAATAAGAAAGCTGAGTTAATAAGTAGCAGAATATTGGAAGCTAAGTGTTTGAACTTTAAGTTCAGTCCTTTTTCCAAGGCAACTCCCCCTAGATAAGTATTAAGCTTATAGCTTTATGACCTCTCTGATTTTTCTAGATATATCATTAAATACTACCAGTATAATCAAGACAACAGATATCAGATATGTAACCTGACACTTTTGCATATTAAATATTGTTTATTATTAGAAAAGCACTTAACATCTATACTTATATGGCTTTAAGAAATAGCCTTAATCCTAAAAGGAAAAACTTTAGGGAATCCCATGTTTATCATTGATTCCTATTGAAAAAAATATCCTCACAAGTCAAATTTTAAAACCTGTATGATGAAACATCACAGTTTGGAGTAAACTTGTGGCATAACAGATATATTTTAAGGAATTTTTTAACAAAATTTCATTCTCCACTTTCTGAGAATGTTTCCAATAGAATTAGGCTACAGTCACACACTTCACCAAAACGTACCGTGAAATGACAATGTGCTTAATATTCACTCAATGATACAAATATTAAGCATCTACTAAGGGTCAATCATCTTTCCTTCAAATTTTCCATGTCAGGAAAGTAAATATTTTCCTTTTATAATTTGTTCAAGTTTAATTATATCAAATTGATATATTTGAAAGATAACCATAAATTGCTGAAAGTAAAAATATATTTCAGTAAATAGAGTATGTTTTATAAACATTTAGTAATCTGATACATTAATAAACATAAACCAAAAAACAGATTTAATTTGAGTGATATCAGTTTTAATCATGGCTTTTTTAACATTAAGTTAATAATTTCACTGCTGATATTTTACATGGTGTTATAATAAATATAATACTCCACAAACAACAAATAATCAACAATGATCATTTAGTGTCACTGGGACAAAACTCATTGCACACAGAGGCTCTATTCCGAAGAAAGCCAGCCAACTCAGGCAGTAATTCAGAGGGTGCAGGGGCTGCAGCAGTATTCCAGGCAGCTCTCCGGAAAACGTGCTGCGTCAGATTCCCAGCGCTTCCATTAGCTGTCTGCACATCGCAGTGCGTCAGGGCCAACAGCGCAAACCACTTCTGAGAAATGGCACCGAGGATAGACAGAATGCTGCTTCTAGGAACATATTATTCTGTGGATCATCATACACGTCTACTCAAAATGTAAAATGCCAAATAGTACATCCATAGATAATATGAAATTTGTATAGTTTGCAAAAAGATTTCTATAAGTATTGAATAAATGGCAATACAAACTGTCTTTTATTTACAACCACCTTTCAAAAATAGGAGCTTATTTTATTTTTTATTCTATTTTTTTTATCTTCACCCGAGGACATTTTTGCATTTATCTTGAGAAAGCAGGAGGGAGAGAGGAAGGGGGAGAGAGAGCGAGAGAGAGAGAGAAACTTCAACGTGAGAGAGATACATCAACTGGTTGCCACCCACACGACCCCAACCGGGGCCAGGGACAAACTGCAACCAAGGTACGTGCCCTTAGTGGGAACCGAACCCAGGCCTCTCTGGTCTGTAGGCTGACACTCTAACCGCTGAGCCAAACCAGCCAGGGCAATAGGAGCTTATTTTAAATATTTCCTTCAGTATGCACTATTAAGTCTTATTTCTTTACAGTAAACTGTTTTACAAAGATCATAAAAATATGTTCCAATATGGTATTTTTAATCCAATTTTTGTTTTAATATGATTCTTTAACAAAGAAAGCCCTTCTTCAAATATGTTTAATAAAAATTAATGAACAACACTTGAACTGTCTCCATACTTCAGCCCTGATTTTCCATCTAACATCGTTTCAGATGAGGAGATTCACACAGGTCAACACATTCATGTATTTGTCTTTGTCAGAACAATACTATCTGTTTATCTAAATTTGTTCACCCAAAATTGCATGTCTTCCATTAATTTTAGAAAAAAGAAATATGCAGAGAGATTTGGCTTTGTTAAGTTTTTCATCTATGCATAAGTTCAGGTTGGAAAATTACTAAATAACAATTTCTTTGGGAAATTTTCAAATACTGAAATCCCTCTATGAGGAATACGCTAGCTTCTTCCTTCCTCTGTTTTCTATAATGTTATTATTATTTCAGAAATTAGCTTATCCTCACAGGGGAAGATTTGACAAATCATGAAAAGCTTATCAAAATACATAAGGAAGTGAATGTTATATAGTAAATTAACCATCTCCTACACATCCCCCCGCATTCCACTCTTATTGATGAGTTGCAGTTGTGAGAGTTCTGGTCATATGTTTAATTAATTTGCAAGCGAAGTCTTTCACACTCTTTCCAACTACAACTTACATATAATTCAGTTCTCCAGAATGCAGCTCTGGTATATTAACCACCATCCACATATTAGCCTCATTCAACATTTTCCTTTTATTTGGCACAAATGAAAAAAATTCATTTAAAAATTAACATACTCAGCTGCCTGTCTGTAGTGCTTCAAGTCGTTCTTCAAATTTTTGTTTTCATTTTCTAAAAGCATATACTGGGTATAGATATCTGGGACATTCCCAACATCTGTAAGTTCAGTCACTCCCTTCTGTATTAATTCATACCTATGAAAAAATGAGACCAAAGGCTTTATGTTGTTTCTTTCTAAAAATTTGCTTAATTTATGTACTACTCAAAAAGTTAAGTCTCAGGGAATATTTATAGAAATTAGTTGCAATATTACTCATATGAATTAAAATGTCAACATTCATAGCATATTTTACATAATAATTTATGAATTTCTACATACTAGTATCAATCAGGTGAATAAAATATAAGTGAACATCTCCTATGTTTCATGCACTAACCTAGACACTGGTGAAATTAACAAAAAGGTTCAAGTCCCTATCTAATAACTTTCCATTCTCCTGTGGACGGTGATGTGTTCTACATGAAGTAAAATAAAGCAGGATAAGAGGAACAGAGAGACTGAAGTGGACAGTGATGGGGGTTAGGGTCATATAGGATGGCCAGAAAAAAGGAAGGGATATTTGAGCAGAGAACTAAAGGAACGGAGGGACTAAGCCATGTGGATATGTGGGAGAGGAGCCTTCTCGGCTGATAGAAAAGCAGATAAAGGCCTGAGACAAGGAAGCACTTGGCATGTACGATAAAGAGCAAAAAGCCAGTATATCCAGAGCATCTGGAATCGGAACCAACTAACTGGACAAGGGAGAGAGTGGTTAGGGAAGACCGGTCAAGAAGACAGCAGGGAGCCAGAGAGAGGAATGTGATTTTACTCGCAATCTGACTGAAGCCACGTGACACTGATCAGATTTATGTTTTAAAAAGATTTGTCTGGCATCTGTTTAAAGAAACTAACTCTTGCCCTGCCTGGTTTGGCCCAGCAGTTAGAGCGTCAGCCTGTAGTCCAGAGAGACCTGGGTTCGGTTCCCGCTAAGGGCATGTACCTCGGTTGCAGTTTGTCCCCAGCCCTGGTTGGTCGTGCAGGTGGCAGCCACTCGATGTGTCCCTTCACGTCGATGTTTCTCTCTCTCTCTCTCTCCCTCCCACTCTATCTGAACAAAAAATGGAAAAATGTCCTCAGGTGAGGATAAAAAAAAAAAAAGAAACTAACTCTAGAGGAGCAAGAGGAGAATTAGAGATAGTTCAGAGGTCGCTGCACTAGTCCAGGAGACAGAGAGCGTGGCGTGAACAAACCTGGTAGCTGCAGAGATCAGGGAAAAGGGTCCCTTCTGAATGTGCTGGAGAGGTGGAGCCAGCAGGAGTCTCTTCTAGATCAGCTGTCAGATGTTGGTTAGGAAGACAAGTCAAGGGTTTTTGGGTGAGCGACAGCCATTTACTGAGATGGGGACAAATGCAGTATGAACTGGTGGTTAAAGAAATCAAGGAACTGGTTCTATTCATGTGAAATGCAATGTCGAGTAGATAGTCAAGTGAAGATGAACACTGGGTATACATGTCCCAAGTTCAGGAAAAATGTCAGGACACACAATTTAAATTTGGGAATCATAAGGGAATAGGTACTATTTAAAGTCACAAGACTGGATGAGGCCAGCTAGAGAGTGAATGTAAAGAGAAAAATGAAAAACATCCTAGGACTGTTTTGAGAATGGGAAGAAAAGGAACTACTACTAGAGACTAAGAAAGCAGCAAAGAGAATACGAGGCTGTGGCTCAGGAACCGAGCGAATCAAGTGCTGCGAGAAGGAAGGCATGAACGCAGGGACAAACTGCAAGGGGGCGCACAGAGGAGCACTGGCGTCAATGGCTGAGTCTGGCGAAGTCCCTGAAAGGATTTCAGCAGAGTCATGGGGATGAAAGTGGACCCAGAGCAGGTAGGAGAGAGCTGGAAAGGAGGAAGTGGCAACAAATGCTTCCAAGGAGATATAGAGCCAATAAATCAAGATGAACCTAGAAAAGGATTTGGAGTTCAAGGTATGGTTTTCATTTCTTCTTCTTTTTTGATATAAGACATCGTATTGCACATCTGCACGCTTATGGGAATGACCTAGCACAAAGGGGGAAAGTCAGCAATGCAGGAAAGAGGGGACACCTGCAGGAGCAATGTCCTTGAGTAGGCCTGAGGAGCTCGGCTCCAGCAGGGAAGAGGAGGGGTGGCCTTTGATGACAGTGTGTATGGTGACACCCCTGTGACAGGTGGAAGGGAATACCTGGGGACAGAGGCAGCAGGTTGATGAGAGGGAGCCAGAGTCATGGGACTTCTATGTCCTCAGTGAAATAAGACGACATATCAGAGAATAATTTACAGATTTGTAAATAACTATAATTTTAATAATTAAATATAGAAATTAATAAAACTAAATAAAAAAACAATCACAACATAAAAAACATTTCAAGTAATAAAGTATTAGTAAACAAATCTCTATAAAACGTGCTATGGGTGGGCTAAACATTAGTTTTAAAATGTTTAATCAGTATTTTCATATTAAAATCTTAACTTTATTATTATTACAAATTAATAGTCATATACTTCTATGTTACATATGTTATCTGAATTTTTTTTAAAAAGCAAGAAAAGCCCTACAGAATATTCAAAAGGTTAAGATAATTGAATCATATTAATATTTTCCACAATTTCTAAAATACCAAATAGATAACCATTTAATCATAAATTCCTACTTTATCTATATTTAGGATGTGATTTAAACTTATCTCAGAAGAAAAGACATAAGGGTTGATTGAAATATTGAAAAATAAAGCTTTTCTGAGCATAAAATTGGTTTTCAGAAACTTGCTTTACTTAATCCAGAGAAAAATCACTAAAACACTTATTTCAATAAGAAAATAATGATATAGAGTCCTCTATATTAAATGCTATGTAAATAAATTAATAAGTGGTAAAAATAAGTAACAATTAAACATAACACAACATAACACATATTATAACATATATAGCTCAGGACATTCAAAAGTTACTTATCAAGCAAAATTTATACTATCCATATAAAAATACCAATGATGACTTTAAACTCATTAAGACTATTATGATACTGTAAGATAATTAGTCATTTTAATCTACAAACTGTGAAAATATAGTTCTCAGTAAAATCTTTTCTTTCCTACAGAAGATATTTTGGTTTTCTGTCAGGTGCAATTGTGTGTGTATTTTAAAGAAATATCCTGGTCTTCTTTATTCCTTCCTCCTTACCCTTAGAATAAGACTGAAAACTGTTAATATGTAAGTATTAAGAACTGGAAACAAAATTTACTACCAATAGAATTGTCAATAAATTACTGCCAGTAAATTTGCATTAATGGTCTTAATAGTCACCACAAGGTCCATTAACTAATTACAATGATATAGAAATGGAGTACATGCATATATTTCATGGAGAAAGTGCACGGGCTTTCATACGATCTGCGTATATACCACTGCCACAATGCTGACTAACCAACAGAGTTCCAGTGCACATGGAAATCGTGCAAGAGGAGGAAGCATTATTTTTCCTCCGTGATGTCACTTAAGGCATAGAATATGAAAGACAGAAAAACAGTCGTACAGGTAGTAAGCAACAAATGAGAATCTTTTTTCCATGTTTGCAGAGTTAGAGAAATATTTCACCAACAAAGACAAAATGCCCTTGACTACTGCCCAAATTGAAGATGTTGGAATCCCCAGCACCATCCTAACTTATCACTAGAAGCAGAGGGCCTTTCACAAGAAAGATATAGTACAGTTGCAAAAGTTTAGTTCTGGTCCTATGATTCCTCAAGCCAATATGAAAAACAGATACAAATTTGGACTCTAAATCAAAATAGTTCTTATGTTTTCTCGGTCTAAATCAAGATAAAAAGCACCTTTATTGACATTTTCTTTCAAGATTCCCATCTTGAAAAACATCTTTACATATCATCTCATTCCCTCTGTTATATGCAGTGGTGTTTAAAGATCAAACATGTTTTCATATCCAGTTATGTAATACTGCTTTGTTAAAGAACAGGGCACTGAAAACATGTCTAGTGACATCACTGCTGCAGCAAATGAATCAAGACAGCATGCCTGCTGAAATTTATCACCAGTACGTTATCAAAATGTTCAATTATAGCAAGAAAATACTGTCTCTAGGCATTATTTGACAATGTTCCCACTTACTTCTACATGAAGGAAAATTTATAGAAAACGAATGAATCGTGTGTGTGAGTGGAGAAAGGCAGGCCGTTACACTATAAGTAAAACAAGCAAAGTACAATGTCTTAATGCAGGAAATAATACCCTTACTAATTATGCAGAAGATATTAGAAAAGGTATTTCATAAAATAGCTTTGTGCTATAGTATATAACTCCAGGAGATATTCCATTTTCTTGACTTTTAAAAATCACCTAATTTTTTTTATTTCAGAAAGATGCTTACTATAAATTTATTTGAAACTAATATTCTGATTATGAGCATTTATGTGTTTGGGTGCGGGAGTGTGTGTGTTTTGGTTTCAGTAGTGGGGATGGGAAAGGTTTCCATCCATTTCATCCATTTTGCACAAACTGACTGACATTAGTCTTATGACAGGATTAAAAGTGTGCATGTTAAAATGTTGTTAGTGTTTCTAAAATGAAACTAGACCATCAACTTACACCCTACACAAGAATAAACTCAAAATGGATAAAAGACTTAAATGTGTGACTCATGAATCCATAAAAATCCTAGAAGAAACTGTAGGCAACAAAATTTCAGACATCATACACAGCAGAATTTTCACTGACACATCACCCAAGGCAATAGAAACAAAGGAGAAAATGAACACATGGGACTACATCAAACTCAAAAGCTTCTGCACAGCAGAAGATACAATCATCAAAACAGAAAGGCAACCCACTGTATGGGAGAGCATAATTGCCAATGATATATCAGATAAGGGGTTAATTTCCAATATATATAGAGTGCTCATATAACTCAACAAAAGGAAGACAAAGAACCCAATTGAAAAATGGGCAGAGGAAATAAATAGACACCTCTCCAAACAGGACATACAAATGGCCAAGAGACATATGAGGAAATGCTCAACATCACTAATCATCAGAGAGATGCAAATTAAAACAACAATGGGGTATCACCTCACACCTGTCAGAATGGCCACCATCAACAAATCATCAAACAAGTGTTGGTGAGGGTGTGAAGAAGAGGGGACTCTGGTACACTGCTGGTGGGAATGCAGACTGGTGCAGCCACTATGGAAAACAATATGGTGTTACCTCAAAAAATTAAAAATTGAACTTCCATTTGACCCAGTGATCCCACTTCTAGGAATATGCCCTAAGAAGCCTGAAACACCAATCAGAAAGAATATATGTACCCCCATGTTCATAGCAGCACTATTTACAATAGCTAAGATCTGGAAACAGCCCAAGTGTCCATCAGTAGACGAATGGATAAAAAAGCAGTGGTTCATATACACAATGGAGTACTACACAGCTGTAAGAAAGAAAGATCTCTTATCCTTTGAGACGACATGGAGGGACCTGGAAAGTATCATCCTAACTGAAACAAGCCAAACAGAGAAAGACAAGTATCATATAATCTCACTTATTTGTGGAATATAATGAGCATAACAGTCTCAGGAATAGGGTAGTCCCAGAGACGTGGAAGTGGGGTACAGACTGACAATCCCCAGAAGAGGGGGTGGTGGGGGAGAGATAAACCACAGAACTTATATGCATGTGTGCATGAACAATGGACATGGACAACAAAGCTGGGGACAGGGCAGGGAGGGAGGAGGAGGGAGGAATCAGTGGGGGGGGGGAAAGGAGAAACATCTGTAACAAAAAATTAATTAATAAAAAATAAAAATAAATTAATTAATTAAATAAAATGTTGTTAGTATTTCTAGAGAATTATTTATCTACATAATTGTTTACCATTCAGATTGAAAGCAATCAAGAGTTCTGGTCATTCCCATTTTGATCAGGAAATTGCAGAGAAAATCTTCTATTACTTCAGGTACGACAGGCTTTGAAGGAAGAACTGTTTTCTGCTCCTGAAATTTAAATGCACAATTAATTCTGAAAAAATCAAATCTTTGATTAATGACATTGATTCATTCACTCATTTGTTCATTTTTTTCAACTATTTTTGTTGAGATAGACAATATGGCCCTCGAAACGTAAAATATTTACTATATGACCCTTGAGAAAACAAGTTTGCAGGCACCTAAACTAGGAAAATGGTGATATTTCAGCAAGTGAGATATGAAAGTAAGACAGCCATAAAAACAATATCACATAATTCAGTGTATAAAATAAATCAAAGAACAAAGAGATTCTTAAGAAAAGACAACAGCATCATTGTCTCCAGACTGTATTCATTTTCTTTTCATTGGCAAGGACTTCTTCGTCTAACTGCTGATCATGTGGAAGACAGATCTAGTTTCACACACACAAACTCAGCAGTGGACCTCTCCTTCCTACTTCTCCTCCTACACTGGCAGTGGTTACATACCAGGTTCACAGGATGCACAGAATGGTTACATAGAAATACAGGAAAGAAAAATAATCTTTGTTGCCCTAAAAGTTCTTTTCAAAAATACTATACATAATTTGACCCTGATGTTAATTACTTTCAGGTGCTATGATATCCAAAATAGTGGTGAGTTGAAGCAAATTTGGGGGCTACAGAAAATTCCTGAAAGGAATAGGGCTTTATAATATATTTTTTTAAACTTGAGCAGAACAATTTAGAATCCCTTTTCTAATATTATTTTTAAAGGATGTTCTATAACAATGTTGATTATATTCAGGACCTTACATGAAACATCATGAGATGTCAAGTCTTTGCACTGCAGTGGAAGATTATATAGAATTGTTAGGTGAGGGCATAATACAGCTGGAGGCAAACATTCATTATACAATAATAAATGTTACCTTGGAGTTTTGGGTCAATAAATTTGAATATGATATTTTATAATATCATATGGATGATAGTTGAAGGAATCAGGAACACAGGAGGAAAGAAGAGAATGTATCTACTTTAGTTTCTTAAGATGACTGTGGGCTGCTGTGTGTATGTTGCTGTGTGTTTGCAACATACCTGGTAGATCCCTGTCCTCTTAAACACGTTTCCTTTCTCTTCCTAAATACATCGGATACACATACTAACAATTCTATATAATCTTCCACTGCACCTTATATCAATTACACATTCTATACAACTCTTATAGCTTTATAACTAACTTAGTGATATTAATAAAGTTCTTCAGAATAAGCACAAAAAGCAAGCACTCCACTACCTAGCAAAATATGCCTCACTTTGAAGACTGTTGAACTAAAAAATATATTCCACCTACCTGTGGCTCAGAAAGCTGTTGGTGACAGAGGTGACCCTAGCATATAGCTTAGCTTTACCTATGAAAGCTATAAATTAGAGTTTTTCTTTTTTTTTTTTTTTCGTTTTTTTTTTATCCTCACCCGAGGATATTTTTCCATTTTTTGTACAGATAGAGTGGGAGGGAGAGAGAGAGGAAGGGAGAGAGAGAGAGAAACATCGACGTGAAGGAACACATCGAGTGTCTGCCACCCGCACGACCAACCAGGGCCGGGTACAAAGTGCAACCGAAGTACGTGCCCTTAGCGGGAACCGAACCCGGGTCTCTCCGGACCGCAGGCCGATGCTCCAACCGCTGAGCCAAACCGGCCAGGGCTAAATTAGAGTTTTTCTAAGTAGAGAGGTTCTAGATAGTGTAATGAGTGCAGCAATAGAGAGCTGCTCAGTAAAGTGACCAAGGCATTTCACATGTCTTGAGTAGGTGAATAAAGGCTTTGTTAAGGAGATACTTGGGCTGGAATTTACAAAAGAAGAGAAAGTTCAGTGGATGAAAAAGGATGAAAGGAAGCTCAAGGCAAAAGAAAAAGAAAAAAAAAAAAAAAACACATCAGAAGCATAGACAGAAGCACCCTGGGGATTTAAGCAGAGCAGTAATCAATTCAAATCTGTGTTTAGAAACATCTCTTAGGTGGAAGTAAAAGGACCAAAGCACCAGCAGCATGTAGTAGTAGTGCCAATGAGAGAAGACAGGCGGTCAATCTGAGGTAGACCAAGTGAACAGCAAAGGCAAGGAGGAAATGAGAGATGTTGAGAACATCAAATCTGATAGGGCTTATGCACTAATTAAATAGCAAAGAATAACTGTACCACACAGGAAAACTAAGTGTCTTGAATACTTCTGAATTCTTCCTAAGTTAGTGAGGTCCTTTGAGAACTGTTGTTGACTAGTGATAAAGAAAATAAATAAAATCCAAGGGGTCTTAAAGCATAAATCTCATTTTATTTGGGATTTCATTTCATCAACTCTTTAACTCACACTAAATCAAATACACTAGCTTGGAGAATCTATAAGGAAGGCTTTGGGTAAAAGTAGCCTTATGCCTTAACTGAAATTAAATGGATTCATCAAGGGACTAGGAACACAATAAGATGAATTGCTGTTTATTATGACTTAGCAATTTATAAGTAGTATAAATTTTATATTTCTTATAAGGGCCTATAAAAGTAATGAAAATTATTTTCATATTTAATTCATGAGCATTTATAATATGTAAAATTTAATATAAAGGCACGGATCCTTCATTAGACCAAGGTCTAAATAAAAGGAATACAAACTTACTAATCCTAGACTACTCTTTTATTATAACAACATAATTCTTAACAAGAAAAATATTTGATAAAAACTCTTAATCAATATATTGGAAAATATCTTAGAATAAAATTCTATAAAAATTCTCAAACTTTATGTTCTCAGTACACATTTATACCCTTAAAAAGCATTGAGGCCAAGGCCAGTGGGGCTCAGTTGGCTGGCGGTGTCCTGTGCACCAGAAGGTTGCCAGACGGACTCCCCAGCAGGGCCCATGCCTGGGTTGCGGCTGATCCTCGGTAGAGGCCTGCAGGAGGCAGCCGAATGATACCATACCCGCCCCCTCATTTCCTCCCTCTACTCTAAAACACAATCAAAAAAGTATCGAGGACTACAGAGACCTTTTGTTTTTATGGATTGTATCTATCAATAGTTACTGTATTAGAAATTAAACTTTTAAATATTTATAAGTAACCGTATTAAAACTTTTACCCAGTAATATAGACTAAAATATTTTTGTAAAACAGGACTACATTTTACAAAAATGAAAAAAAAAATCAGTATGAAGAGTGGCACTGTGACAAAGTTTTGCGAATCTCTTGAGTATGTAGAGGAGATATCTGATCCCAATAGATGCTTCTGCATCAGTCTATTGCAATTTGTTTTCTTGGCTGAGCCATATGAAGAAAATCCAACATAGACATATGTAGTTAGAAAATGGCGGACAACACAAACCTCAGAAGAATTCCAGCAGTACTTCCAGAAGTACTTATAAACATGTTAAACAACACAACAGTTTTGTTCAGTCATCAAATAGTCTTCTACAAAAACCAAAAACATCTGAATATTTCAAAGAAATGCCTTATATTCACAGAGGATGAAGAGGTGAAGGAGGGCGAGGAGATGTCAGGAAACCTAAGAATTGTATGAATTTGAGTGCCTTCCTTCTGTGATCTCTACAGATCATAGTTTTAATTTTACAAAAATTATAAGTCATTAAAGAATTATAGCATTACAAAATACCTTTGAGAGTGTACCTCAATAATTACCAAAACAAAAACCAAGACCCAAAGGAGCTAAAGAATTACATCCCCGCCCTGGCCAGTTTGGCTCAGCAGTTAGAGCGTTGGCCTGCGGTCCAGAGAGACCCGGGTTCAGTTCCCGCTAAGGGCACGTACTTCGGTTGCAGTTTGTCCCCGGCCCTGGTTGGTCGTGCGGGTGGCAGCCACTCGATGTGTCCCTTCACATCGATGTGTCTCACTCTCTCTCCCTCCCACTCTATCTGTACAAAAAAATGGAAAAATATCCTTGGGTGAGGATAAAAAAAAAAAAAAGAATTACATCCCCAAAAATGGCAATAATAGTATTAATAAGAAGGCTTACAGTTAAGAGGGGAAAACCTAGCTTCAATGTGAGTAGATACTTTTTCATAAAATTACATATGAACATCTCTAAGGAATATAAATGTATTTTGAATCCTATCTCTACTTATATTCATACTTAGAAAAAAGACTTTAGTTTCTAGAAATACCTGACAGTGTAACCAAATCGCACTTTTGTTACAGATTAATAACATTTTCTACCTTCTTAATTTTTTAAATAATCATTTTAAATATAATGAAACTATATTTTATTTCAGAGTTCAGAACCACTGAACATATTAAGGAAACTGATAGTGAACTTTAAAGTTTATGAAGTAAAATAAGCAATCAATTCTCAAATTTTTCAACTCGATTACCAATGTATAAAGAAAATCTTAAGAATTTTTTTAAATGTCAACTATTTATTAAAGTTTTGTTAATTTAACAAAAATACTATTTGTATTATTTTGAACTTTCAATTATTTCAACTACTTCAATAATGTTTTAACTATATCCCAACTATTTTAAAGATACTTACGTTTTCTAGCATAATGACCTTTCACTTGCGATCATTAATGAACATTTTAAAAGCCCTCCCTGGCAGCCGGCGTGGCTCAGCAGGCTGGGCGCTGCCCGTGGGCTGAGAGGTCCGGTCTGATTCCCGGTCAGGGCACAGCCCGGTTGTGGGCTCGATCCCCAGGAGGAGGCGTACAGGAGGCAGCTGATGGATGTTTCTCGCTCACATTGGCACTTCTATGTCTCTCTCCCTTCCTCTCTCTCTAAAATAATTAATAAAAACATTTTAAAAAATTAAGTATGTGGGAGGATGTGCGTCCATCATATGCAAACACTACACCATTAAAAATATATAAAACTACAAACAAAAGATGGCAGCGGGCAGGACTGGGGGGGGGAGGTGAGTGTGAGAGAGTGTGAGTGGACATGAAGGTGGACAACCAGAAATACATAACTGATATGCTTATCATAAAACGAACCTATATTTAATTTTTAAGGCTGACGTAAAATTTTTATAAATTTCCTGTATAGCATGTTCCTCCAAAGAACTCAAAAAACAGGTACACAGAACTTAAATGAAAATCAACCAGCTATAAAAACACTAGAAATCTAGAAAGTTAACTCTTCATGGTTATGATAAAAGAATTGATAAGAGAAGAACTACTGGTATTCAGCACAGTAGATGTGAGAGCTACTCCATTATATTTCTTCCCCAACTGTCCTCCTTGGATGCAGCTTTGGATTTGCAAACACACAGCATGATACCAGACAGAAAGAAGCAATTACAGTTTGGGTCATAATATTTTCATTCAATGATTCATTTATCCATTCACTTACTCAACTGCTATTCATTCAGTACCTCCTATGCGCCAAGTACCAAAACGAATGAGTGGTACACATAGTGTATTTTTTTTAAATCCTTCTTTACTTAATGATGTAAAGCAAGATGAAAGATGATGAACAGTGAATAAATATATCATGCAACTGATACGTTTATTCACTGCTCATCATTCAAAATTCTGCATTTTAAAAGTATTCCTATGAATTATTGCATTGAGATAGCCAAAAGACTAATAAGTTTATGTAGTATCCTTTGCTTTGTGTCTATGTAAAAAGAACTATATTCACAGGATATATTAGAGAATGCAGTTTACTATGAGCAGGGTCCTCCATTTATAACAGAATATAATCACTTCTAGATTCAGAAACTCATCCTCTTGAGCGTTTTTATTTTTATTTTGAACAGACAGTATTTTAGAAAGGAGTTACTGGTTTTCTAGACAGAGAAAGTCTACAAAATATGAAAAGACTGACACAGGGCAGAATGTGGAGTGAAGTCTATCACACACTATTTAGCACTGAGGAAGTCAAATCTATAACTAAATAAAAGTATCACAATTTCCTCCACATTTCTCAACAGGAAGTTATATAATTTTTTAAAAGCATCCTTCTTAATTAGTGTTGGTATGAAATATTAAGCACCTTAAAAAATTATTGTTATCATCATTAAATTTCTATCAATTTTTTGTTGTTGTTAATCCTCACCTGAGGAATATTTTTCCCATTGATTTTTTTTTTTAAGATAGAATGGGAGAGGAAGAAGGGGGGGAGAGAGAGAGAAAGAAAGAGAAACTTCAATGTGAGAGACACATTGAATGGCTGACTTCCTCATGACCCCAACCCAGGGCCAGGAAACAAACCTGCAACCTAGGTACATGCTCTTGACCGGGAATTGAACCCAAAATTCTCCGGCCAGTGGACTGATGCTCTAACTGCTGATCCAAAGCAGCCAGGGAATATTTTTATCAATTTTTAAATGAGTTTCCATTTTCACAGGAATATCATCATTGTATATACTTTTAACTTGATGGTATTATAATCAGAAAGCATCCCTCACCATATTCTTTAGTGAAATTAGTTCATAAGCCTCACAAGGAAAAAATAGCGTAATATATTAAGCATTCCCTGTGACCTAAATAACTTCCATGAAAAAAAAAAAAAGAGAATGCTTTCAAAGCAGATTGTATAATCTGTACACAATACTGAATTCTGTATATGAGTGTTGCAAATCCTTGGTTTACTCTCCAGTGATGCTAAATAGGCAGAATTCTGAGGGGTAGTGTCATTTATTGCAAAGCTATGCAAGAGTGACCACGACGTGGAAAACAACAAACCAAAGAAGAGTAAATATGACTACTTACCTAAAGCGAAGGTTTGATGATAGAGAAACAAGTTAGATAGGGTTGCATTTAGTAAGTAAAGTGAAGTACTTGAAATGTAATAACTTTCAAAATGTCACATAAAAAGTTATCACTGCTAAAGTATAGGCTACGGTTGTATTCAAAATTCTCACCAGAATTTGAGTGTCTGTAACCTGTTCTTGAACCATCTGAGTGGCTTTCGCCAGATCTTCTTCACCTTCTGGAATGCTAAAATTGTCATCGGGTATCTAAATCACAGAGAAAGAGGACAGGAAGTGTTAGCAAGAGTAGTAAAATACATTATTTCATTTCAGAACTAATTTTTCTTCACAAAACAAAGGATCAAAGAAATGTATTTCATGTAAGATACCATGTCATTTTGAAGATCTATGAAAAATGAATATATAATAAGCAGGAAGCTTTCTGCCTTTCTTCTAAACATCACTCAACGTCACTTGTAACAAACTTAATATTAGTGTATGGGCAATGCTTTTATCTATAGTGACAAGTGTAGACTAACAACCGTGCCGAGAGAAATGTTAGGCCATCTAAATGCCACCATTCTCTCCTCTTCCAGTCCCCCCCCCCCATTACTCTTTCTTCACTACTACTAGCAACTACAAATCTCCAGTTTATCAAAATAATAAAGTTCACTGCCTGAATGTTAAGCTCTTGTAAGAATCTAATCAAATCTAACTATGATATTAATGATAGTTAACAATTATCGCATGCTTATGTGCTCATCAGCGTTTTAAGTCCTTTACAATTATGGAACTCATGTCGTATGTGTCAATACTGTCTCCGTGACAGCAGCAGCAATACAAAGCCTGTGTTGTGTGTGTGTCCTGTGTCCTGCTTGCCCAGGCTGGAAATCACCAGGCTTGCATCCACAGCTTCGTTCCCAGCCTCTGCCCTCTGGGAGAGTCTGCATCCTCCAACCTCAGAACCAACGATGGGTCCCGCCGGAACAGGGAAGAAAAGGGAAGGTTGGAGACAGTCAGCACAGGAGACAGAGGTGGAGTCAGGCTAGAAAGAAGCACAGGATCTGCACTCGTTGGGCAGTGGAAATTTCGGAAACCCAGGCAGGAGCACACTGGACGACAGTAAAGGTCTATTAGACACAGAGGAGAGTCTGTAGTGTGGATCCCTAAGGCAGGTGATAAGGAGGTGACTCTGAAGGACAATTAACAGGAAAGCTCAAAAAGCCAGACATTTTAACCAATTTAAATTTTTTAAATAGAATCTCCACACCTCATTCTTAACCAGCTGAGATTAGCTAAAATCAATTGCAAAACTAGCAACTCTTAAGAAATAAATAAATAAATATTTCTCCAGAACCACCATAATGAATTTACAGAGCACCCAAAACAAACAAATGACCTCTTCATATTCACAGTCATCTTCAGATGCTTCAGTCACGGTGACCTCTGAATGTCTTGTCAAGTTTTAACTTCAAAATATATGAAATAAAATCATTATACTTAAAATTAACTTGGCCTTAAAATAGTGTTGGATTTAATTATTTCACTCACTCGTTGAGATAATAGATTTCAAAGGTTTCATCAATGAAAGTTATTTAAATCTCTTTTTTTTCTTATATGTATTTCTCAATTTTAAAACTAAACTCTCTTCTCAGGAAAGGCAACCTAATTGTCAAGCAAATACATACTATACAGTAATCATAATTCAGTAGTTCACAAATTATCAAGAAATAAGTATTAAAACATCAGAAATGACTCTAATAAAAATTCTAACAGCACTGCTGTAAGGCTTTTAGAATTATAAATACTCTACTTATAAATGAAAACAGCTATTTTGTTGATTGGGAGGTTTACTATTTTCTTCAAATGTACAGAATCAGTTATGCCAAGTTTAAAAGGTATGAAATTAAACACTTTAATATACAGTAATGGTTATAAAAATCAAAGATGAGATTAGCCTACTTTTCATTTTGCTGCTGGTTATAAGAAATTGTCTCTGCTAGTCTGTCTCCCAGAGTTAGCTGAAGGTGTATATAACAACTTATGTTGTTTGTAATAAGAACTGATAACACAGAGTATTTAATAGAAACTAGATGCTGTCCTAAGGGTTTTGCGTGTAGTAGTTCATTTCATCCTCATCCTACCAGTGAGGCTTGAGCCATCATTATCTCCATTTTACAGGCCAGGACTTCAAGGCACGCGATCGCACAGCTAGGACCGAACGGAGCTGGGAATGAGCCCCAGAAGTGCACTATGCTCCCACCTCTCCTGTGGATTTGTATGGGCTTTCTGTGCATGTACATACTTGAGGTGTGTGCCAATTATTTTCCAGGGTTTAAAACCTCTAAAGATAGGTAATGCACTCTTGTTACTCAGCCCCTCCTAAGCAGTAACTCTTTAGTGTTTGCCTTATTATTTGAGAAGACACTTAATCCTAGTTCAGTTAGGACCAACCCTCAGGAACCAGATACCTGGGAAAGGGCCCGTATTTCATTGTTAAACATTAGTGTCTCTCCCAATAACATGGTAAAAATTTCTACCAAAAAATAACTAATTAAAAGGAGACTAAGCAACCACCAAAAAAAAAAAAAAAAGTTGCTTATCTGCAGTCCACCCCACACCCTTAAACTTACCGTTACCTAGTACCAGGAGTGAAGTACTACCTTTTACCAACAACTTACTTAAAGTACTTCCAAATTTGTCCAGTGCTCTTTTGCAAAGCCACTCTGATACTTTAAGGTGTTTCTTATGCTGGAACCTCATTTCTAGGTAAGAAATTCAGTATTTTCTTTTTCTTATTACTGTATAACAAACTCACAAAAACTTTGGACTTAAAAAAACAATAAGCACCCATTATCTCATAGTTTCTGTCATAAAGAATTCAGCAGTGGCTGGCCTGGAGCATTTTGATTGGGGTCACTCATGAGGTCTCCGTCAAGATAGCATTCAGGGTTGTAGTCACCCGAAGGCTTAAGTGTGGCAAGAGAATCTACTCCTGAAGGTTCAGTGATATTGTTGGCTATCCCCCAGGCTTCTTAACTCCTCGAAAGGTGGTGGCCAGCTACCTCCAGAATAAGCCATCAAGAAAACAAAATGAAAGCCACAATATCTTTTATGAACAGCCTCAGACGTCACACATCACCATTTATTCAGTATCCCATTTGGTTACACAGGTCAACCCTAGTATGAGGACACTACACAAGAACATTTACACCAAGAGATGGGAGGCACTGGGCCTCGTGTTGTAGGCTGGCTACTATACTACCTTATAGGGTTTCAAGAGTATTCAAGGGGTAACATGTAAGTCATTCATGTAAGTGCATGGCTTACAGTACTGGCTTACAGTAAAGGCTATATACAGTATTTGTTATTATTTTCCATGGTCTGGAAAGACATGAGTACCTGCAGAAAAATTCTCGTAAGTCTCCCATGGCCCAGTTCCCCCATATATTAAGATAAATGGACAAGAGACATTCTAAATCTTCCTCCTTCTAGATTTACATTTATTTGACACATTTTCACTTAATGAGATAAAATTTCCTGAATATCAGATACAGGAAGTCAGCCTCTTATTTCTAAACTTTATTGGTGACACTATTACAGATGTCCCCCTCTCCTCCCCCTTTTCCCTCTCTACCCAGCCCACGCCCCCTTCCCTCTGGCCATCGCTATACTGTTGTCTGTGTCTATGGGTTATGCATATAAGTTCTTTGGCTAATCCCTCACCTTCTTTCATCCAGTCCACCCTCCCCACTTCCCTCTGACAGCTGTCAGTCTGTTCCATGCATCCATGCCTCTGTTCCTATTTTTGTTCATCATTTTATTTTGTTCATTAGATTCCGCATGTGAGATCATATGATATTTGTTTTTCTCTGACTGGCTTATTTCACTTAGCACAATAACCTGCAGGTCCATTCATGCTGTTGCAAAAAATAAGAGTCAGCCTCTTTTCTTTTTTTTATGGTAAAGCATGCTCCCTTCTGAGAGACAACTATTAGAAACTGATTTTGTAAGCAATCATTTGTCATTAAGTCTCCAGAAGAACAATGCTATCCTTCATTACTGTTCATACCATAAAAATTTCACAAAAAAGTAAATATTCTATAATGATTTGGACAGATTTTATAACTGTAAATAAACCAACTGATGACAAGATTATTGTGAGGAGAAAGGTGAAAGCAAAGGTTGCTAAACATAGCAGTATGTAGAGAGAAAAAGTGATTTTCCCTAAAAGCTTTGGAAATATCTAACAACACCTGTATATGCTACCCAGAAAAACATTCTAAACAATGGATTTTAATCATTAGTAAAATATTCTCTTTTCACACAATCAAAGGAGACTAAGAAAAAATAACTACCGATTTGTTGCTCTGGCCAGTTTGGCTTGGTGTTAGAGCATCAGCCCGGGGACCGAAGAGTTGCGGGTTCGATTCCCTATCAAGATCACAAACCTGGGTCATGACCGGTCGGGGTCATGCAGGAGGCAGCTGGTCAATGTGTCTCTCTCACATGGATGTTTCTCTCTTCCTCCCTCCCTCCCACTCCATCTGAAAAAAAAATCAATGGAAAAATATCCTTGGGTGAGGAAAAGTATCACTCTATAAAGTTTAAGAAGCATTGCCACATGGAACAGAATCATATTCATTCTCATAACAACCTTGTGAGATTGAAATGCACAGACACAGTCGTCTCCATATTGAAAGAGAGAGATTGAATCAAAGAGATGAACAGATTTGCCCAAAATCACATAGCTACGAGTGACAAAGATACGTTTCTTGAATACAAATGTCAAGAATTTTCTACTACACATAATATTTCTACAGTTATGCTATAGGAAAATGCAATTTTTGCCAATGTCCTAGGTAATAAACTCTTACCTATTTGTTTTCCAAACTCTTAAGAATTATAGAACCAAGGACTAAATGAAATTGTTTAAATAGCTCAATTTGAAGACCTTAAAGGAGGGATGAAAGTTCTGCAGACCCAGATTAAAGTAACCCAGGGTGAGAGATTAATGAGAGAAAATGTCAAGAAAAGGACAAATACCTAAAATAGAGCTGGTATCCTCCTTGATTGATATTTTTAGTATTGATAATATGAACTGAACAGAAAATCTTGCCAAAAGCAACTCAGTTGAAATGTGCTGTTGCGGTGCTACTGAAGACATCAATGTACGTTGGCATGTATGTTAGCATGTACATTGGCATGTATGTTGGCATGTACGTTGGCATGTATGTTGGCATGCATCTGACTAGCTGGCTAGCAGCACATGGACAAATGCAGGTAAAGTCCCAAAGTGATGTGACCATGCACAAATATGCACCCATTACAAAATACAAAAATAAATGAATATAAAAATTTGAAGAGAAAGGAAACTAGTAGAAGTAGGATAAAGGTAAAGATGTAGTACATGCCATAGGTCCCACACTTTCGTTAAATGTAAGACATGGGTTTGACTCTAAGCTTCCCGCAGTCAGGGTGAAAAGGGGAATATAATCAGATACCAATTCAATATCCATCCAATGAAAAGAGATGAGTTTCTCAGCAGATACAGAACAATTTCTGGTTTCAGAGCATGAATAAATTATACTCCCAGTTTCTCAGAAAGAGGACACTGTGGATTGTACAGATATTGATCCCCTTGGCCCTCGGGGCAGCCAGAAAGACAGAGTGAGGCAGAATCTGACAGACTACCACGTGTGAAAAGCACTACTTGAGAAGCAGAATTGCCAGAGTGGAAATAGAAAATTCAACACAATTACCTGAAAGATAAAATCTTTACCGTGGTTCTACTTTTACTGGGAAACTTTCTCATCTCTAATCTAATCTTTTAGGTGATCCTGCTGTCCAGGAAATGTTCACACAATTATGCTGGTGACAACTGTCATGCAGTTATTTTTCTACTGCAGAACATAAGCTGGCATCTGGCTTAAAGTCAGTTTCTTAACGCCAAACTGATCTGAGCCCTTACAAAATTCCCTTCCTGTTATCGACCTAATATTCCTTCAAAGAACATCGCTGAAATTCGTCTTTTCCACCCTGTTCCCCTCAGATCTGCTCCTTGCCTTTCTGCCTGTTGAGCTTGACTTGACACTTAACACTGCGCCTGGTTTCCCAGCCTGCTCTTGCCAAGGGAGCTGTTGTGGCTCCTTCCCTCCCTGGTCTGCAGCCACGGTCCATAACACTGCCTACTTCCCAGCCAGGTTCTGTGTCCCAGAGTCACAGCCCAGGCTCCAACCAAGGGTCCGACTCCTCCACCTCTCCACTTGCCCTGGAAGGGATGTAACAGTGTCCGTGAGTTTGCAGAGTACACATCAGCTCTCTGGTACTCAGTCACCACGGGGAACTCTTTGGCACTTTTTGCACTAGCAGAAGCTTCAGCCGATCCTGACCTTCTAGATCCTATCGGAAAGTAGGCCAACATACGCGCACACGGAAACTGCCAG